TTCCTTTTTTTATGTGACCTTTGGCAGCCACTGCAATGTTTCATATAAATTGAAATTGATGTAATGCATTAACCATGAGGTACTCAAGCCATGAGAAAAGACAGGTAACAAATACAACAACAACCGCAATAATAATAATAATAATAATAATAATAATAATAATAATAATTGGACTGGATAATCTGGACAGAAAAACAAGAAAACTGATGACAATCCACTACTAATTACACCCATGTAGTGATGTCGACAGACTTTACTTGTCCAGAAAATCAAGGGGGGAGAGGGCTTCTGCAAGTGAAACAAATGGTAGAAGAAGAGAAACATGCACTGGCAGATTATGTGAAAGGCAGTCAAGAACCAACATTGAGGGAAGTCAATAGTAGTAAGCTGTTTAAAGTGCAAAAGACAAAGAGAGAATACCGTAAAAACACAATCCATAGCAGAAGAGAAAACTGGCAAAAGAAGGCTCTCCATGGACAGTTCCTGGGAAAAATTGAGAGCCAAATTGACAAGGAAAAAACATGGCTGTGGCTCACAAATGGAATGCTGAAAAAGGAGACGGAGGGCCTGATTCCGGCAGCCCAAGAACAAGCCATTAGAACCAATGCCATCAAAGCCAGAATGGAAAAGTTGGCGACAGATCCCAAGTGTAGACTCTGCAAGGAAGCACATGAAACAATAGATCCCATCCTCAGCTGTTGCAAGAAGATTGCGTAGACAGACTACAAGCAGAGGCATAACACCGTTGCTCAGATGATTAATTGGAACTTGTGCCACAAATACTATCTGCCTGCAACAAAGAATCGTTGGGATCACAAGCCTGAAAAAGTTACAGAAAATGAACATGTCAAACTCCTCTGGGACTTCCGAATTCAGACTGACAGAGTTTTGGAGCACAATACTCCTGACCCCAGGATTGTGTTAAAAAACAAAGTATGGATCATCGATGTTGCAATCCCAGGTGACAGCAGGATTGAAGAGAAACAACTGGAAAAGCTGACACAACATGAGTATTTAAAGATCAAACTGCAAAGACTCTGGAACAAGCCAGTCAAGGTGGTCCCAGTGGTGATTGGCACACTGGGTGCAGTGCCTAAAGACCTTGGCCTGCACTTAAACACAATCAGCACTGACAAAATTACCATCTGCCAGCTGCAGAAGGCCACCTTACTGGGATCTGCACACATTATTCGCCAATACATCACACAGTCCTGGACACTTGGGAAGTATCCGATGTGTGATCCAATACAACAGCCAGCAGAGTGATCTTGTCTGCTGTGGACTCATCTTATGGTGTTTCTAACAACAACAACAACAACAACAACAACAACAACAGATTGTCTTAGAAGTGAATTCCCTTGAAACTTTATTTTAAATACTGAAATTGGTTTCACTTCATCTACACAAAAAGACATATACAGGTACGCAGTTAGGAATTGTCAATACCCTAATGAAAGTAGTTGTTGTGTGTAGGAAGTATTCTTGAAAAACCTTATTGTTAGCAGTAATTACAACACATTTTATTATAATTCTTGAAGTTTCCTTTAACCTGTTGTGCAAGACCTTTAGAAGATCCATGCTCCATCTCAGCTGTAATCAATTCTAACATTTTAATTGCACTTTTTGATATATCTCACATAGGACTCTTTACTTTGGGCCCTACCACCTTGACCAGATCATTTAGCACTCAGATTTCCTACAACCACCATTAAATGAAATATTTTTTATTCTCTCGTGCATTGACCATAGAAAAATGAAAACAGGAGTATACACAAAAGAGTCTTAGAAGAACAGAAACTGAGAGTCACAGCACTTGATGTGTTTGGAAGGAAGCTACATGTTTCTTAGTACAGAGAGGACCACCCTATATCAATGGTGTTCTTAGCAACTTTCCCACTACCTGCATCTATCCAGGTTTTAAGATACATTGATTGTAATGGCAATGACATTAATCTGGAAATCCTTAGGCATGTGAATGGTTCCATTGACTTCAATAAGGATTACAGGAATGAATGTAAGCTCAGGTCTTTATTTAGCTGCTAAACTTGGAAAATACCAAACACCCTGCCTCCATTGACTTAAAGATGGCCAAGATGCTTAGCCACTTACAGGATTAGATGCATGCCATACTGAAATAGTGATCAAGTTACAAGGTTATTCTGAACCACTACTACCACCCTGGATAGATTCAGAATACACATCCGGTGTATTTATAACTATGTAAGGAACAGACATAACAGACTACACTTGTCCAACCTAATTACTGTGTTTTATAAAATAAAATAAATTCTCAGCACTAATTTTGTGAAAATAATTTCTTTGTAAAGATTAGATTGTTTGGTTACGTTATTTAGGTGTTTGATTGCTAAAGCACCTTTGGCTTACCACTATACATTTAGACTTTGGATATATCTGGTAAATGTTTACTTATGTTGCCTTCATTTAGAGAAAAAAAAAACCCTATACTGCTAAGCTGTTAGAAAAGCATGAAGCTAAGCAATTTTATAATGCAAACCACTGGCCTGAAAGAGAAGTAGAAGTTGTAAGGAAATTGAGAAAGGTCAAGAAGGGAATCAACACAACAAATAAACAATGAGTCACTTATTCTATTACCTCTTCCTATGGTGAAAAACAATTTGGGTTCAAAAGCACATTTCCAGAACAGTCACACTATTATAGCCTTACAGCTTTCTTAGCATTTTTAAAGGCAAACTGCTTCCACGTCATATTGTAAAATGTTTTCTCCCATTATAAAGCCAAAGCCTAGTCACAGGATAATGGTCAAAACCTTCTTACTATTCAGGAATGGAAAGAATATACATCTCCAAAATCACCTTAAACTTCGAAGCTCCACAAAATCCAGTTTTAGCACTCTCTATTACTTTTATGACCTCAACTGTTTTCCCCACAGTTCAGGTCAATCCCTTTCATTCTTTGTAGCTGGCAGTTGCCCCCGCAATGCATGTAATAGACATCAGGGCAAGACACCAAAGCCTGAACATAGGGAGAGATGATCCTCTTGCTTGCCATGTGATTTCTCACTGATTTCTTAAAAATGTCCCCTTTCCCCCCATCTCAGTTGTCCACTCATATGCAAAATGACACAAGGGTCTTGAAAATACCGATGGAATTTTTTTATGATTCCCTTTGATTCACCTAGTAATATGGAAAACTGGATCTAACAAATGATTATTAAACAGAGCATACTCTGTCATAGGATTGTTTTCAACTAGAGCAAATAGAGAAGGTTTTGTAGAAAGTTGCCTTCAGGAAGAAAATTGATATGGTGGGAACGGAATGCGCGTAATGGGACAAGATGCGCCTTTAGTATAGGAATCCAAAAGGTGAGGCAGAGTTACCAAGGGAATGCAAACTTTGCAAATATGAATCATTGGTGTGAATAATTTTAATGTTTCATTCTCTACAGTGTTAGAAATGTAGGGACTAAAGATAAGTTTTATTTATCAGGCCAGCATCTGATTTTGAGAGGCAACTCTTTATTCTGCCCCTTTCTATCCGAGCACCGAATAACCATCACAAAATTGTCAAAGTTTCAAAACGCTTTTCATGGATCATCTCCAAATGCATTTTGCAGGATAGAGGCATTACAACTTCCAATCACATCACCCGAATGCCATGTGTAGAGACTGAACATGAGTTGATTGCTAAGATTTAAACATTTACAAATTTAATACTCAAACCAACTGCAAATTCAAAATTTCTTCTTCAATACAGATTGATGGTTGAGATCCAGACTATTTCTCCACCCTTCACCTTTTCTTCTTTCCACACATCCTTAAAAGAGTATATATCTCTTATTGTAAGGAATGTTTTCTATATGAGGACTGGGCAGCTTTTCCTTTTATATAACCTGAACAAGATACACCTTTTCAAGATTCATATTTTTGAGTATGGTCTTTTTGCAAAGACAGAAAAAGAAGCACTCAATGCAATTTATAACTGCAGACAATGTACATTAACAGAAATAATTACTTTTGTTTTTAGGTATATCAAAAAATTGTCAATAGCTTACTTCTCGACTGTCAATCTGGCATATAAATATCTGCTGTTGCCTTATTGTTATTTTCAATATCGGGCAACACTAATATTAGTGCAAATATTCTGAAAAAAATGTAGGAAGAATCAAGACACTGTCTTTAGATTTACTTAAAAGTATGTCTCATATAGTCAAAGGTACATGACACTTCAAAGTAAGTATTGTTGGAGAGGAGAAATAATGCCAAGTTTTGAAGTAGAAAGCAAATTCTATTGAAAAATCAAGTCAGGTTTAGTACAACAAAAATTAGGCTGGGTATAATTTTCCTGTGTTTTTAAAAAATATAAAGCAAAAATTACATTTAAAAGACTACTAAAACAGAACACACACAAAAATATTCAGCAATCTTATTCTGGGCTTGCTATTTAGCATAGTTTTCAACATGACTATTCAGAAATTCATATTACTGAGTTCGGAATGACTTACTATTCTCAGGTAAGGATTACAACATTTCAGCTGTATATATGTGATAAACCTAATGTGGGCTTTCTCAACAAAGAGAAGAAAATTAGAAAATGTTTCAATTTCAAAGAAACAAAAGTACTACATAAGATTTATCTGACATTTAAATAGCAACATATAAAAATAACATGTTCATTTAAATACTTACAGAGGTTAGGAGCTAAATATCACTTTTTCTTCAGAATCCAAGGTTTCCAAGTGAACCATATGTTCTACAACTGATCTATGGCTCAGTTATTACGTGCTCAAAGTGAACACAGATGCACTGGGTGCTGTATAGAAAACTAAATAGGGTATATAAGTTCAAAACCCTTTTCAACCCTCTGTCCCCTCCTCTTGTTACTCATCCTTTCCTGTCCTTTCAAATCGGGACAATGTAACAGGACATACATAATCACGTGTCCTAACTAGGAAAGAAGAAAAACACGGTATTTATTGTCACTTATCTAAGTGGTACAAGAAAAAAACATAAACTACTCACCTCATCAAATTCTATTTTTCCAAGAGGTCTAAAGCAAAAACTGGCATTTCAACAAAGAAAAGACTAGACAGGTCTTGTTAAGCATTGTTAGTATTATTGGCCTGCTCTAGTTCTTTTCATTACTATTTTTGTCACTTAAGCTGAGAATCTGATTAGTACATTTAATTCCAGGGAGTTTCAGGAATAGCCTATCTTTAATCAGCCTACAGGCACCCTCCTTCTTTTTCCTTCACGTGATTTAACAGATTTTAAAAAGGCAGGAATTGCAATTACACTAATATATATTTTAAAAACAACAACAACAAGAAGCAACTTGGGCCAAATGGCACGGTCTACCATATATATCTCGAGCATTATCACAACAGGCAGGGAGTGTAATATTTACATGGTATATGCTGATCATTAGTGGAACTGAACTGGTAAAAAGTAAAATTGGAACTTGAACCAACAAATGAAAAATAAATGAATGTGCTGGAAAAGGAAACTGTTGGTTAAGACTAAGAATGATTCCCAATGAGTTCAATGAGACTTCTAAGTAAAGTAGAACAGGTAAGAAAAGCAGCTTAGAGAAATTTCAACTATGACTTGTTACTTGAGCAGCTAGTGCTAAAGTCAGGAAAATGTAAAAAAAAAAAAAGCTTATTGAAAAATGAGTGTGTATGTTAGCCATCATATGTGATGGAATTGTTTTGAAGTTATGTCATTTAAATATTCCATAGTAACTGAATGATGAGATGAGATAAATTCTTGAAATATTATCTAAAGCTGAAAGATCCACATGCTCCAAATGTCCCGATTGCTAGAAGCTTTGCTTATACACTTTCTCTTTTGTCTGGATTGAATTTCAATTTTGTTCAACTTCATCCAGTTCATAAGAACCAAGGCCGTTTCCTTGGACTGAAGGTGATGTAGTAGGTCTGAGTATACTCCTTACTAGGAAGAAATCCTGGAGAGCTGAAAGTAGTCATGATTACTACTACTAGAGTACATCGACCAATGGTATGACTCAGAATAAGTCAGTTTCTTATGTTCTTTTTCAAAACACTTCAGATACTCCTAGAATTCTGGATTTCAGCAGATATAGCCAAAATTCAGATAGTAAGATATGTGCTAGTCCCAAATCTCTCCCAATATAAATATGCAATAAAAAAAATCTTATGATGTATATTTATTAGTTGAGGATGTCAAGATGCAGTGCGTAACAGTAAGTGTTGAATAAATCCAGAATTTTGTTTAATACAAGTTTCCGAGCAGCCTTATTCAGACATCTGGTTTCCAATCAAATACAGGGAATTAGGGATGTGTGCTTCAACTCCATCTCTTCCATCTGTTAACTTTCAGTGTTCATAAAGAGGGTTTGCAAAGGAGCTGTACCAATGTTTGACTGAACAAAGTCTATGACTTCATGAATTTTGATAGGGCAGGATTTCCAATTGTGTGAAACTGACTGCACTCTCTTGAACACAGTTCCAGCTTCTCTGCAGATTTACTCTATTTACAGAGGGAGGTCAGGAGTGAGAAGCCAGGGGTGAGGTCAGTGGTGGTCTAAAAATAGTGGTTGCCAAGAGACAAAGGAGACCCATTCACAACTATAAGGCTATCAATTAGGTTTTATAAAAAATAGTGAAGATCCGAGCCTATACAATGTATCTATCAGTCTCAAATAACCTGAATCAGAATTATTTTTTTCAGATTTATTATATTCTTAAGTATAAAGTACTATCAGTTTTTATTGTTTGCTTTATTAAAACATGTTAGTTGTATACAGTAATAATATTGGAACTCCTATTATATTTTCAAGCTACTTTTCATTTTAAATATGTTGTCTAATTTTTTTTTGGGGGGGGGGGGCACTTGCCACTGGGTGAGGTACACTTCTTTGACTAACATAATCCAACTCCAGAATGGCAGAATAGAGCATCTATTTATTTGTATCCCTCTTTTCTCTCAGGGACTGAGTCCCAGAGTGACTCACAACCTTTAAAAATATACAATTTTAAAACCAACAAATAAAAATATTAAAACATCACCATTATTAAAACAATTCATTTAAAACCACATCTTCTTAAAGTGATCAATAAATGCTGTGATTTTGCAATGTACTGCAATTATATAACAGTGCAGTATAAAACAAAACATCAAACTACAGAATGTAACAAGGAAAAAATCATAAGTGTAAACTTTAAATTACACAGTAGTGGTGAATAATTTGCTACAATTCCATTTTCAGAAAAAGGAGGCAAATATGGAAACAACATGATGCATTCTGTATTCTCACTGTTAGGACTATTATACAGAAAAGTGTTATTGAATTGTTACCATTCTTCTCCATGTAGGCCAGATCTCTAGCGAGTTTAAACTATTACATACCTGTGCAATCACAAGAGGGAGCTTATTGCTTCTAAGTCATATTACTCATCAGTGCTGTGTATATACGGCCCGAACTCCAGTTCCACAAATAATAGGATGTAACAGTGTGTTATTCTCTGTTCAGAACAATCCCAAGGCACTGTCCTTTGAGTAATCACTTCAAAGTGGCTTTTAGAGCAGCATATGGCTGATACGGAAGTCTTAGAACACTAGCTTATAGCAGAGATCCCGGAGAGGATACTCTGCTGATTACATGCTGCTCTTCTCGGTATCTATCGTAATGCTTCTTTTTTAAAATAATAAAAATGTCTGAAATATAGGTATCCATGTGCCTATTTTAAGGGTCTGCTGCAATACATAAAACCACTGATTCTTTGTAATGATTTTTCAGATAAGAGAAAGCATAGTTTTATCAGTTTAGAACAGCTGAAAGCTTTTAGATGGCATCATTTCAGCTATGAGAAAGAAAGCCTGAGAAAGTTAAAATCTGTTCTAAGCAAGAATAACATCAAGAACAAACAGATCTGAATGAATTAATCAAATGGGCATAATACTTTCCCCCTTCTTGGATCCCAAAAAGGGGGAAATAGGATGTATTCTATCCGTGCATTTTCAGAAATGTCCTGTATCTGTATTCTATCCGTGCATCTGCAGAAATGCCCTGAAATCTATAAAAGGTGAGGCTGAAGTAAATCAGTTAGTTCTATGACTTGTTTGATTCTTTTTTTTTCTTCACTTCCATTTTTCTCCCACTGTTCTCCCAAATATAAGCAGTATCAGATCCGGAGTTTGAAAAAACAACAATGGGTAATTAATAATATATAATTTAATTTAAAAATATAAGTGCAGATACAGCTGCGGTTAATCAACTTGCTTGATTTAAAGATTGGCACTTGTTCCAATCCAGTGCTTTATCAACTGGTGAGCAATGGCTTGTTGTGGTGGCACAACAAACCCCCCCTTATTCCTTTTATTGAGAAGTTCAATGACCTGAAATATATAAAAACAGTATGCAAACAGATTAACACAAACATGGGAATATTTCAGCTCAATGTGCAGTTCATCAGATTTAATAGTTTATAATGTGAAACCTTTACAAAGATTAGTGCCTACATGTATTTCATTAGAGAAGTGCAACATGGCAGCCTATACAAGTGTTATACATACATTAGCTTGTTCTTATGTACTTTATAAACCAGTGGTCCCCAACCTTTTTTGACCAGGGACCACTTTGAACAGGGACCACGCTCCAACATTGGTACCAAAAGGGTTATGAATCAGATTTTGGTCGACCTTAGATTTGGTTTGGTTATTTGGGATGCTGATTCAGAAAATTGCATTGGATAGACCACATCAGCTCTAATTTCTGATACAAGGCATATGCCATCCAATAGTCTCCATCTGCTCATCCACAAAAAAAAAAAAGTATTTAATTTAATAATCTACAGCTGATGTGGTAATAGTAATTTTTTGTGGGTAGTCAGCCTCCCCGCTCCCGACATTGCCTCGGCACTACAAGAGGGTTTTGCGAGACCAGTTGCTCTCATTGCCATGTGATTTTGAAGCAATGGTGTAGTAATGGTGAGGTAGCGGACCATATTTTCATTTTTGGGGACCACTGGTTGGGAACCATTGTTATAACTATTACTATTTCTGCAAGGTTTGGGAAATGATTCCTAAATTTTGGGTCAAAAACCACAGACTAAAGGTATAATGACATTTTCCTGAAAACATGAAAATGTTTATTTTACTCCAGATTTGTTTTGTTGTGGGCCTAACAATTTATATCTGCATATGAAGTTTTGTTTTTCAATAGACATAAGTAAAGGAAAATACGCAAGTTTAAACACCTTGAAATTATACATTCAAAACCTAAAAACATGGATACTTCTATGGAATGTGTTCTTATAAAATATTATTACTTAATCTAATTTTCTCTCTGCATTAGAGAATGGCTAATACAGGAAAGCTGACGGTTCGGAAAGCTTGCTTTGGAATGTATCCATACAATGTTTTGGCAACATCTTTAGGCTCAGTTGAGGATGAATTGCCTATACCAATTCTTTTAGTAACACATAATTTTCAATTTCAGTGTAATCGTTGTACAATAGGAAGAGTACGAGGACTCATTTATCTGCCTGAAAAAGCACATCCATATTGCATGCCCTAACCAATATAGTCAGAGGGCAATCAATAAGAAAAGGAAATTAAATTGAACTTTACCTGTTCTCTACTGAACCAGCGGGCATCTTCTAGTTCAATGTTGTCAACTTTAATTTCTGTAGACACTGCAGCTGCTATGCAGCCAATCATTAGGGAGGAGGGCATCGGCCATGGTTGACAGGAGACATATCGAACATGGCCTACTTTAACTCCACTTTCCTCTTCTACTTCTCTTCGAACAGCATTTTCAATTGTCTCACCTAATCAAAGAAAGGGAAAAACTGTTCACTGGGAAAGCTCCCATGCAAAATGGCATTCAGTGTGGTAAAACACCTCAAAATATTTGAAGCTATCTTCAACAATCTCCCAAGATAGCCACAATTTGGATAATAGGTGAGAAATGTAACAAAGAAAAGAAGGCAATACAGTAAGCCATTCACATTTGTGGTTTAGGGTCACAGAACCCTGGTATAAATGGGAAAAAAAACACAAATAAAAAAACACTTCTCCTAGGAATCTTTGGTCCTCCATGGTAACTCTAGGGTTAAATTCTGGCAAAAGTGGACCAGAGAATTGTCCTGGAAGACATAGAGGTTCCTAGAGAAAACATATTAATCAAATATTTGAACAATCAAATACTCAAAAGTTAAACCTGCAAATTTGGAAAGTGGACTACAAATGCATCAAAGTAATTAAGAAATCAATTTATTAAGGCTACACCAGCTAGTGTTTTGTGGGCTTCACTTTTCACATCTCTTTGCAGCCTTTCAATGACTTCTTAAATATAAAAATACCTTCAAATCTTTTGTTTAAAATAGTATTATAGGATACTACCATCCATTTTTACTGTGTTCACTTACCTCAAAGGCCCAGCTAAATTCCAGAACTTAGCTCACTGCTGTCAAATGCTGACTTTTCAAAATCGCTATAAATTGCCAATCCAAAATGGGACACAGAAGAAGTGGAATTATAGATCTCTGTAGATTAGTGCCATTTGGGGAAAAGATTCAAGAAGATTCAAAGTGGGTTCTTCTTCATTCCTGGAGCACCCTATTCAGGGCTTTCCCCCAGCAAACTCCAGCAAGACAGCTACAAGCTGAAACTTTCCAGCTGCTTAATGGGAATGTCACTTCAATTTGGCATTTACAGGCACTCGACTATCCCACCATTGTACTGCTCTAATCCACTTCAGCCAACAACAGCAGGGTGTTTGGGCTGTACTTTCAATTCGACTCACTTTCAGGAACTGGTCCTAAAACTATTCTGAATAAACTCTTAATACTTCAGAAACACCTAAAGAAGATTTGTCTTAGAATGAAATGTACAAACCCTGTACAAATGGATGCTGATCTTAATTAGAGACTGCAGTACACTTTCAATTACTAGTTTGATGTTATAGATTTAGAACCTCCATTTCAATTATCTTGGCATCGCTTTTCATCAGCTTGACAATGAGTATCTTTGCTGTTCGAAGTACATAAACACCTTTAGTTTCAGTACAGTAAACAAGGGTTGAAAAATACTTTGAGAATTGTAGCTCTAGCTGCAAATTCTGAAATACTTTTTGTTATGTTTTTAGAAGATCTTTAAATTACATTCAAACCCACAGGGATCCTTAGATATTAAGAGCAAAAAAACATAAGCGTAATTTATACTGTGGCCCTCTACCAGTCACACTCTCTGTCTAAGACAGCAATTCTCAACCTGTGGGTCATGACCCTTCACAAGGGTTGCCTAAGACCATTGAAGAACACATATTTCTGATGATCTTAGGAAACGAGAAACCAGTAACTTTTTTCCGCCCCCTTCACTTCCCAGAGGCCTCTTCTCCGGAGGGAGGTGGTGATGTCACTCAGCCCTGCCTCCTCTGCCATTTTAGGAGGAAGAGAAGGGAGTGATGGAGGTGAGGCTTGCTTTGGAGCCAAGAGGGAAGAGGAAGAGGAGGTGGGAAGATGAGGGAGAGAGAGGGGTCTACGGAGGGGGAGGGCTGGGGGGAGGGCAGGGCTTAGAGAGGGGTGGAGTGCCCCTCCATGGCCAAATCCCAGGGAGAAAGAGAAATAACAATGAAAATACATCCTGCATATCAGACATTTACATTATGATTCATAACAGTAGCAAAATTACAGTTATGAAGTAGCCACACAAATAATTTTATGATTGGGGGTCACCACAACATGAGGAACTGTATTAAAGGGTCATGGCATTGGGAAGGTTGAGAACCACTGGTCTAAGAGAAGGATCTTATCACAGGATCTGGTTTTAGAAAGATTATCCCAAAAGCTACTGCTAGCAACAGGCAACAGCAGTCCTGAATCCAATGGCCCACAAAGAAATGGTATCATCTGTGCTAATATTATGATTGAGAACAAAGAAAAAAGTCTGATACAATGTTTCACTTCTATCTTGAAATGGAAAACATGCAGTGAATGTCTGCCAAAATGATCAGGAGTTTGAGGCAAGTAAAAGGAGATGGTAGACAGGGAAAAGATTTTTTAATTTTTTCCTCCTCATAATACATGAACATAAAAACATCTACACGTGCACTAGAGCAGTGGTTCTCAACCTGTGGGTCTCTAAGTATTTTGGCCTTCAACTCCCAGAAATCCTAACAGCTGATAAACTAGCTGGGATTTCTGGGAGTTGTAGGCCAAAACATCTGGGGACCCACAGGTTGAGAACCACTGCACTAGAGTGAAATGCTGGGTAATCCAAGACAGATAAAGAGAAGCACCTTTTCATACAAAGTTTAGCTTAAATTGGGAAATTCATAAGATTGTCAACCTGGGAAGTTTTAATATGAGATTTGAGGACTGCAACAAGGATGGAACATTTTAGTAATTTTATCTTTTACTTTCCAAATTATTTAATTGTTTTAAATCATATATTTATAGTGAGTTTAACTTACATTGTTTTTAATACAATGTAAGCAGCTTGAGTCCCATTATTCAGAGAAAGGCGGAATATACATAAAGCAAAATAATAAGAACAACAACCAGAAATGGCTACTAGACAGAATAACTACATACCATCTCCCAGAATCAGAGGCAGTGTGTCTCTGTACACAGGTTCCCAGGGAGTATGATAAAAGCTGCATTGCACCTACTTTCTTCTTCCTTCTAAAGCATATTGGATGTGAAAGACTTAAAGGATATTCAGCTTTTAAAAAAGAAGTGACTTGAGAAACTGGGCACCGCACATTTAAGGGAGATGTTGACAAGCTGGAATGTGTCCAGAGGAGGGCAACTAAAATGATCAAGGGTCTGGAGAACAAGCCCTATGAGGAGTGGATTAAAAAGCTGGGAATGTTTAGCCTGAAGAAGAAAAGGCTGATAGGATATATGATAGCCATGTATAAATATGTGAGGGGAAGTCATAGGGGGGAGGGAGCAAGCTTATTTTCCGCTGCCCTGGAGATGATGATGCAGGTTCAAAGCACCCCTGACAAATGGTCATCCAGCCTCTGCTTAAAAACCTCCAAAGAAGGAGCGTCCACCACACTTCGAGGCAGAGAATTCCACTGGTGAACAGTTCTTACAGTCAGGAAGTTTTTCCTAATGTTCAGGAAAGGGGATTCCATCTAAACATTACGAAGAACTTCCTGACTGTAAGAACTATTCAGCAGTGGAATTCTCTGCCTCGAAGTGTGGTGGAGGCTCCTTCTTTGGAGGCTTTTAAGCAGAGGCTGGATGACCATTTGTCAGGGGTGCTTTGAACGTGATTTTCCTGCTTCTTGGCAGAGGGTTAGACTGGATGGCCCACAAGGTCTCTTCCAACTCTACAATTCTATGATTCTATGAAACTGCAAGCTTACAAGATGGGAGAGCCATATAACTGCTCTCAGAGAAACTTCCAGAGAAAGTACTTTTGAAAATGCCATGCTTAAGACGTTGCTAGATTCTAGAGCCATGAGCATCCACACTATGTCTTTCAGAGCTAAGAAGATCAATCATGAGAGAAAAGAAAACACAGAAGGCAGTACAAAACAGTCTTCAAGATGATAGTGTTAGAATAGTAATAGAGATCTGGTGAAAGAGAGAATGAGTCAATATCATAAACTCACTTCTGGAAACAGGTCCTATTAGATACTTTGAAATGTAATGCAAAATTATATGCATGCATGTATATATCTTCAAGTTGGCTGACAACTTTCAGTAACCCCATGAATGTCATGAATTATTTTGGCAGGGAATACTCAGAGGTGCTTTGCCAGAGAAAAATATATTAACAGTGAAAACAGATTCAGCAATTATTGTACGCTTTATCCTGGTCAAAGTTCAAACTATTGTTTAGATATCAAAGGGCAAATAGAAACCTGGGGGAGGGGGAGGGGTGGTGGAAATGTTGTACAACTTGAACAAAGAAAACTCACCAGGCTCTACAAATCCAGCAAGGCAACTAAACAGACCTTGGGGAAATGTATTCTTCCTTCCCAAAAGACAATGGTTACCATCTGGATGAATAACTTGCATTATCACAACAGGATCTAGAATACGGGTTAAAGAAATGGATTCATATTTAACACTTCCAAAAGATAGCAACAAAGAGCAATAAATGCACTCATTCTCATTTAACATTCTTATCTCCCTTAAAAGCCTGAAATCCAATTCTCTAAAAGCTCCATAGCTAGTAATCTTATTGCAAGTTCTTTAAAGATACTTATTCGCCTATTTTTGTAACACAGGTGTCTTGTAAAATATACTTACATAGACCAAAAGTGAAAACTCAGGAGATAAATTACCTGGAACGACAGCCTGCTTTTGCTAAAAATACTGGAAAAGGTGACCTAGTTACACAGTCAACAGAAAACAGTGACTTAATCAGGAAAAAACCTTCCCTTTAACTCCTATAGTCGAAGATTAATAAACCAATGGAACATATTTCTTTCCAAACATTATACAGAGTTTGAAGACACGGATGACTTAGCTTCTTTCAAATCTGTTTCATCCTATCTATATCCTGCCTGCAACATTGATCTTTAGTCTTTCCTTCCCCCTTTAGCATTTTTGGTATTCCTTTACACTTTACACTTTCCCTGTTTACATGAGGACAAGCATCTCTAACGTTTTTCACCAGGAGTAGGTTTATAATAATCATTAAAATTCTCTAGTAGATACAATCCTCTCCAGGCATAGCTTAGATTAGATTGTTGCTTAAATTACAGGTAGTCCACAAGTTATAAACAAGATGGGTTTAGTAGGTTTGTTCTTAAGTTGAATTTGGTTGTAAGTCCAAAGAGGTATATTTTTTAAGTGTAAGTCCAGCCATATCTCTATCTCTATCTCAAACCATTTCACATAATTATCCTGGGCAGACATAAATATGTTTGGACAGAAATTGTGGGGTTTTTTAATCCAACAAAACACCCAAACATTTCATGCAAAAAAAATGTGGTACTTGATGCAAAACTTAGAATTTTGTGCAATTTTCTCCTAGCAATCTTGCATTAAAATTGTACCTTTCTTATATGCAAAATTTTTGTGTGAAAGATCTTACCTTATATATATATATATATATATATATATATATATATATATATGCAGAAATTGGTAGTTTCTCAAAATGAATCTGCAAAAAACCCTTGACTTTTGTAACTCTCCCACAAAAAAACCTCTTGGAAACAGCATTATTTTGAATAAAAACTAGCTTTTGAATACAATCCACAATTTTTCACATACAAAAAAGATAGTTTCCTGAAACCCACACTAGATGTTTTATGCGAAGAACACCAATTGACAGGTCTGCAAAATTGAGGTTCATAAAATCATCTAAAAATGTATGGTGATTCAATATAAATTTTGCATTTTAAATCCAAAAACATGACTTCAGATTTGCTCGATCATGTGCACTTTTTTCACAACTTGATTTGATGTTTCTATGTAGTAAAACATGACTGAATTAAAATTAGCACTGAAATTAGTAGTAAAATTAGTAAAAGAACTGTGCGCTATGGAATTTTTATTGTGTTTTTGAAAATTAGGTATTCAAAAACACACTAAAAACATTTACAATATTCCAAAAACTTTGGGTTCTGGAAACATGTGCGTGAGTGAGGGAAAAGGTTACATGAAAAATCTGTTTTTATTGCAAAAAATGATATTTATTTATTTATTGTGTCAGAAGCAAATTGAGAATACAGTTATAATGTATAGAAAAATGACAAACGAAGTTAAAAACTTGGCATTATACTAAATTTCCTTTTACCAGAACCTGGCCACATCGAGTGCCTCTGGTATCTCTGTAAGGTCTTCCTTTGTGCACATGGCAGTACTCAGACTGCATTGTAGTAAGTGGTCTGTAGTCTGCTCTTCTCCACACTCGCATGTTGTGGACTTCACTTTGTAGCTCTATTTCTTAAGATTAGTTCTGCATCTCGTGGTACCATAGAGCATTCTGTTCAGCACCTTCCAGGTTGCCCAGTCTTCTATGTGCTCAGGGGGTAGTTTCTCATCTGGTATCTGCTACCAGGGCCGTAGCCAGAAAAAAATTTCAGGGAGGGTTGAAAATTTCGGGAGGGGTTTTGAAAATTTCGGGGGGGGGGGCGTTGAAACCTGCCTCCTAGCTCACACTGAAGCAAAGAGCACAGCAGGGGGCAGAGCAGCTTTCAATAGCCTGCATCTCCACCCCTGTCAACAACCTCCACCAAGTCTGGCCTCCTTAATGAGAGCATTCAACAATCCCCCCCCCCCAACTTGGTTGCTTCGCTACATCGGCGATTGCTGCAAGTAATGACAGTGTGAATAAATTGTCCATATTTGCTTCAGATAGTGCTTGCAGTTCTGGAGGGACTTTTAATTTTTTGCGTCTCATAGACTTAGCATGGGGATTTGGTTAACCAGTTAAAATTCATGAGTAAACCAGGTTTATTTTTTTTTAACCTGAAAAATTTCGGGGGGGGGGGTTGAACCCCTAACCCCCCCCTCGCTACAGGCCTGTCTGCTACTGATTGAGGTTTCAGGTTTTAACCTGCTACTTTTGGACTCTAGCTTGCTGAGGTGTTTCTGCATGTGTCTCTTTAGATCTTAGGATGGGCCTGAGATCTCAATGCCTTGGTCCTTTCATTACAGGCTGCTACTTCCCGGTGATTGTCAGGTAGTGCAATACCGGCTAAACAGTATAATTTCTCCAGCGGTGTAGGGCGTAGGCATCCTGTGATAATGCAGCATGTCTCATTAAGAGCCACATCCACTGTTTTAATGTGGTGCAATGTATTCCACACTGGGCATGTGCATTCAGCAGCAGAGTAGCAAAGTGCAAGAGCAGGTGTCTTCACTGTGTCTCGTTGTGATGCCAGGTTGTGCCAGTCAGATTTCACATGATATTATTTCTAGCAGCCACTTTTTGCTTGATATTCAAGCAGTGCTTCTCATAAGTCAGAGCATGGTCCAGAGCACAGTCTCTCACACCAGAAGAGACTTGCAGCACAAACTGTTCTTTAACACAGATAACACCATATCCAGAATGCATTATTTTCTAGTAAGATTGGTTGAGAATGCCTTTGTTTTTTGCTTTTTGTTTTTTTTGGCCCTCTGCTAGAAAGCATTGTATTTATAACTGCTTTTTCAGATCATGGCAGCTAATTTTATCTCACCCCAACTTTTATTTTTACTTTGTTAATTTATCTACCATATAAGCATTGAAATGCAGGGATTTCTGAAAAGGTTAAACATATTTTTTTAAAATTGTAAAAAAAAAACCCCCCACAATAACCCATATTTCTTGAGCGTTGGAAAACCCAAATAAGAGCAATGTTTTGAAAACATGTTCTGCACAAATTTTCAGCAACAAGATTTTATGCAGAAAACTGCATTTTCTATCTGAGAAATAGCATTTTCTGCACAGAAAACAGTATTTTCTGGACATAACATTATATTTATGTGTAAAAATATTACTTTGACCAAAAAAAATATTTCCACTTTAGAAAATGCTACTTTTTTAAAAGTAAAAATGCAATATGTGATTGTTGTGCACCATAAGCCCTACATTGCAAATAGTATAAGAAAACTGCTATTTTTGAAGACCTTCTTGAAGAAAGGAACTTACTTAAATTACAAACCCCTTTGCGAAGAAGCTAGCAAATTACATTCCTTTTGCAATTGTGAGAATGCTAGAAAGCATGAGAGCTATTTAAAGCACAATCCTGCAGCACTTCCTACAGAACTTTGAACTATAAAATTCTATTTTAAGGAAAGAAATTTCAGTAGCACTGTAGTGCTTTTTTCCTGCTTTCCTCCCATTCCATATTCTGCTTTTATGCTATATGCTTCTGCCTTCTCTTTTCCTCCTGATTTGTTTTCCCTCACCCTTGACTTGTTCTTGCTATATTTGCTTCCCCCCCCCCTCTTTCTTTCTCAAACTTTCCTGTCATTCCCCAATATTTCCATATTGCTTTGCCTTTCTTTCTTTTTTTTACAGAATTTCCAGGTCTTAACGTACTTTATTAAAATCATTGTATTGTTCAGCAAAAGCTGCAAGTGCTAGGCCTTCCCACTCTCTCTTTTTGTGAATTTTCTTTGTCCTGCCATTACAACAAACAGGACTCTGTCAGTCTAAATTGGGAGATGGGAGCATGGAAGGAAAAGAAGGGGTGCAAAAGGAATAGTGAAGTAATGCAATGGAAAGTGTGGCGATGACATCTCTCTGAGCTCATGCATTTAACAAATTGGGCACCACTTTTTTAGTATTGACTTGGCAACCCAATTTCTTCACACTTTGATATTCAGCCTTCCAGCTGTATATCCAGTACTTTCATTTGGCTTTTCATTTTATACTGACTGTTTCCTTGCTGTCAAAATGACGGATATGACAATCCTATTAGGTAAGTAAGTTCCAAAGACTGATGACCTGTGGAAAATACATATGCTGAAAGGCATCCAGCAGGAGTTTCAAATCCTGCTGACTCCTAGCTTTGTTAAAGAAATGCCACTAGAAACACCAACTGTTGGCTCAGCGATCTACATCTTATCCCCACAATTCTTTCCTTTGTTTCAGCTTGTGAAGATTTAAGAACCACTTTCTGCATACGTCTCTGTAAAACCTGAACAACTAAGACATAAGCCAAACTCTGGAAGATAAAATATCAAACCAAAAGAAAGAAAATGGAAAGGCCTATGATATACAATAAGAAAGAGGGGGAAAGGAAGTTTTGTGACAATAAAGCAATGTGCAGACAACCTCAGACTAGAAGTTTGTAAAAAGCTGTGAAGGCATAAAAAGAACAGATCACAGTCTTTTTATTTAAAAAAAAACCCTGGAACAAATAATAAAATATAATAAATAAGGCAAGGCACATCTAGTGTGGAATCTCAGGGTAGGACAAAAGCTCAACAGACCGACACAGCATGCTGGAGGGCTTCATACCTATGTATCCCTGCTCCCACCCCCTAAACTGGGATGTTGTGTTTTTCTTCACCCCAACTTTAGCTCACTACAGACAATTATTTTCTATTTGAGTTTTTAAAAGTTAAAGCACCACCTCCAATGCCCTATCATGGTTGACTGTTGTTCATTTCTAATGTGAAGACATCTGGGCTACCAATATTTTCTGGGAAGGGGGAATTGTGGTGCAGGGAGCTTTAGGAGACTGCAAAAACAACTTTATGGCTGCATGCATGCACTCCCTCTGGTCTAATAGAACAATTACATACTGAAATTATGCACATCTGTATTGCACTGGTATCTCCTTTGTGCTTTAAAGATGTGCTGTACATGGGTTCTCTTGAGGGCCCATGTATTACATTACATTTCTATTATGTAATGAAGCGCAGCAGTTGTGTTCAGACTGTTTGCAGTCCTCAAGCCTAATGACTATAGCTCACTCGCTCTCTCTTTGTAAGTAAGTGAACAAGCCAGAAGTTTTATGTCATCTGAACCTGGGATTTTGGACCCTGCCTTTGAAACAGTCCAGATCACTAGGTGAACAAGAATAACTGCCCTGTCTTGGGATCAACAAACCAGTATCTTAGATTTGGATGCCAGGTAAAGGAAGTGATTACTGGTGATGTGAATAAACTGTGAGCATCACCCGACAGCTCATCTACGTGAAGCCAAGGTTCACAGACATCTTGGTTTTTCTTTATACAAATGTAACACATGAAACGACGAGGATGGAGTCTGACTTAGATCACATTTCACACACAACATCTGTCAATGTCCACTGAAAACAGATAAAAACATATGTTTCAAGCACAACCTGCGGTTTTGCTATTTCAGACCTGTAAGCATTATTTGTAGAACAATGTAACAAAAGAAAAAGATAGATAATAATTTCAGGCTGCACATTATAAGTGAATTATGCTTAATTTTCCTTGCTGTTAGAGAGAACAACCATGAAAGTGATCTTACCAACTCTTGGGTAGCACGTATTGTGAACCCCTTTATGACTGGCACAATCGTCCATCAAGCAAGATTTCTTGTAGCCTCCATCTTCTAATTTGGTTGCACTGCCACACGTTGGACAAAACTGATATCGGCTGTCCCATGCTAAAACAGATCTAGCTTGGGCAACGACTCCTTAAAAATGACCACAACGAACCATAAATCTGTGAGGGTTTTCTGACACCAAAGAATTATTGCAACATCAACTTTCCAGTTTTCCATAAAACTTAATGTAACTGATTTATGATTTTGAAAAAGATACTGTTTATAAAATTGTACCTTTCCGCTAGCAGGCACTCAGGGCAACGAATAATATTACACTGTACATTAAACATTAAAACTGCACATAAAACTCAAAGAACAATGGGACAAAATCTGAAAGGTATATGAACAGCAAAACATTTATCCACTACAAGAGTGATAGAACATGACAGACTTTGGTATCAATCTAAAGCAGAACAGGGGAAAAGCTTATATTTTGTCTTGTGGGAGAAAGTTCAACAATTTAGGTGCTGCCAGAACTCCCCAGAGAAAAAGAGTTGGGAAAATTTATTTATTTGTTTATTTCATTCATTTCTACCCCACCGTTCTCCCCACAAAGGGGACTCAGGTCAGCCATTTCTAGAATGCCATTTCTAGAAGAAGGAGAAGGAGGAGGAGGAGAAGAAAAATATCTGAAATGTGCAGTTCAGTGATAAATCATTATATTCTCCCCCCACTCCCGGTGAAGCAACTCTAAAATATAAAATAATAATAATGAGAAGTAGTGCCCAGACCATAACTTAGGGCTTTGATATGAAGTTGCCCAGGTAACCTGTACAAAACCATAAAGGAAATACAAAGGAATATTAAATCTTGCTAAATCAGATTTCTGAATCAAAAATATGTTTTTATCTCTTTGTCTCGTTTAATTTAATTGAATCCCTGTTGTAATCATCTTAGGTGACAACATGTCAGTAAAAAGAAATGTTCAAGTACTCACCAGCTTCATTTTCAGACAATTGCAGCAATGCAGGCATTGGTGGCTGAAGGAAATAACAACTCTGATGTTTCTGTACAAACTTGTCAGCAGAAGTAGCATCTAAACTGAGAGAAAACCAAGCAACTAGCCCATCATCTTCACCTTCATTAGAATTTTGCCCATTCACAGTTGGAAAAGATCTACCTCTCAGTTCAAGTTCTACTCCAAGAAAAATCAGTGTGATGGTTTCAGTGTGCTCCAGGAATTCTTTGACATCTTTATAGTGAAGCCGAAAAAGTGTAGCTTTTGGAGATTGGAAATTATCTTCTTCATCTTGCTCTGATACAACCAATGGACTTAAATTTGAAAAAAGAACATATACTGTAGTTGGCAGCTTCTGTTTTGCATTTAGCCATTTAGCATCTGTCCTCTTCTCACTTTTCCTATCCAGAAAGGTCCTGCAAAAATAGTTTTCATGCTCTCTGGCTTCACTGTTCAGGAAGAATGGTTCCAGTCCAGGCTTCATATTAGCTAACAAGTTAGCTATGTTCTTATAACCCCAAAATTGAGCGATGTCCAGTGCAGTCTGGTTTGATGCATTGGATATGGACTTGTCACACCTTTTAAAATGCAAATTATAAAATTAACAATGTTTTCAAGTTTAAGTGTCCCACCAACATTATCGCTTGTCATGTGATCTGGGGATTTTGGGGCTTATAGTTCAAAAAACAACTTCTCTAAGCCACCTCACAGCCTATCCGGAATGAGAATGTCAGCTGAATAAAGCACACATGGCTCCCAGCTAGGGGTTGCTGAACTACTGCAAATATTGCTTGCAAGCCATGAAGAAAATCAAGATTTTTTGTTCTAATTACCATGTGTTTCTTGTTCCAACATTAATGCTTTCTTTCACTGAGCCAAATCCACATAGAGTCATTAAGTGTAACACAATGGGCAAAATCAAACTGAAACAGATGGAGAACAAATGGTTTGTAGAACTCATGCTTGTCTGGCAAAGCTGCTTTGGAGTTGCAAACTGAGCTACTGGAGAAAAATGATGCAACTTTGAAGACAGCAGGGGTCCCCACTTCCTTTACTATACAATTTAACTGTTCAATTGTATGCTTAGGGCTGCAATCCAATGTTCAGCATGATTTACTTCTAAATATGTACAGAACTGGCCAATAAACACCACTATATCTCAATCCTAATACTTATCTATTTACGTATATGTAAGTGTAACTAGTACTTGATCCTAAGTGCTACCCCATCACAAACTGAATAGTCAGTAATTGAATTAACAGTATAGTCTAGCATGAATATTTGCTATCTGCTAATTATCTTTAGAAAAGAACCCATATTACAAGTGTGTCACACATTAAAACGGATAGTTCATAGGTTAATGGATGTCACCCTTTGTTTCCCTGGTTTGCAAAATGATAATTATATATTGTTTATTCCTAGAGTAAAAGAGTCTGAGATATAAAAAGACATGACTTTATGTTTACATTCATTTTTTTATTTTAGCGTTGAAGTTCAGAGTCTGCATAAGCCTATTAGAATTGTGAATATAGGGAAAGACAGGTATCCCGATACAATCATTCTGTTGTAATTTTTAATATGGCATACAAGGAACAATTAATTTTCTATTTTTAATTACCCTTTCTCTAGAAGAACCTGTACAATGTCAAAGTGCCCATTTCTAGCAGCAAACATCAATGCTGTCCAACCATTCTTCGCAGTTTCATTGATAAGGGATGGAGAATGACTGAGCAGGGCCACAAGCCTGGCCTTGTCTCCAGTAGCAGCTAAATTGTGAAGCTCAGAAATCAATCGTTGTTTTGGATTCCTTTGGATATCTGCCATTATCTGTGTGGATAAAAACACAGAGCTTAAAATGTTATTAGTATATAACAGGTCATCTTTAAATCTAAATTTAAAGATGGGCTCAAAGCCAACCTTAAAAACTCTGGCATAGACACTGAGAACTGGGAAGCCCTGGCCCTTGAGCGCTCCAGCTGGAGGTCAGCTGTGACCAGCAGTGCTGCAGAATTTGAAGAGGCATGAATGGAGGGTGAAAGAGAAAAACGTGTCAAGAGGAAGGCGCGTCAAGCCAACCCCGACCAGGACCGCCTTCCACCTGGAAACCAATGCCCTCACTGCGGAAGAAGATGCAGATCAAGAATAGGGTTCCACAGCCACCTACAGACTCACAAGAATTCTGATCCTGGAAGACTATCCTACTCGGCCAACAACGGATTGCCTAAGTAAGTAAGTAAGTAAGTAAGTATATAACAGGTAGAGGTGGCTCAAAAAACTAGCATAAAAGATGTTTTAAGTTATCAGAGATCAATCTTTCTAGAAAGGACTAGGTCAAAATAGAAGTACTTTGAACATACTTGCAAGTTGTTACACCTTGAGTAGTGAAGGTTTTTGCTTATAGCAAATGCTTTTTTCTCACATAATAATAATAATAATAATAATAATAATAATAATAATAATAGCAACTTTATTATTACACCCCACCATCATCTCCCCGAAGGGACTCGAGGCAGCTTACATATGGGACAAAATGTCCACAAAACATAAAACAAAACAATAAATAAATAAAACAAAACACAAATAGGAGCATCATAAAATATAGCAATCCAGATAAAACACATTAAACATAACAGAATAAAACAAATTGCATTGGAGCATTTTTATATTTTATGAAAGATTATTACAAGCTTACTTTGCAAAACTCAGGCACGTGTCTCTGAGGTAATCACATTGATGTCGGAAAACCCAGAATACACACAAGGATTTTTGACAATGTCTAGCTTGACCCACATTAACTCCAGGAAAACGACTGCTATCACACATAGGATACAATCGCTGGAATCTCTTTAACAACATACGCATGCTTTATGGTGGTTTATCTGCCTTGTATGTCACTTTCAGGACAGAGTGCAAAGTTCTATTCTGCAGCCCTTTGCGTAATGTTCAAAGCCTTTCACCCAATAGCTGTCACGCCCCTCTGCTGTCAGTGTCACTGCTTACCAGTGCAGAGAGGAGAAGCCAAAGAGAGAATTCAACCAGTGTAGCTTCAAGGAGAAAAACAGGAAGGTACACTCTGTCTGTGAGTGTACTTCCATTTGCTTTCCTTCCTGGGCCATGAGGAGCAAGTTATCTAATTTTGATTTGCTTCCCTGTTGTCTATAGCAGTCCCTGCCAGAACATGACAACTGGAGAGAGAGTAGGGCCCCATCTATATTGCCATATATATTGCAGTTTAAAATTGCATTGTAGACCATGTAATGCAGTGTAACTGTACTGAACTCCATTATATGAGTCTACATTGGCCATACAATGCAGTTTTAAACTATGGCTTAGGTTTTGAATGGGACACTAAGGACTAGCAGAGATGTCAAACATATTGCCCTTCAAATGTTTGAGCCAGACACACTAGCCAGCTTGCCCAATTGGCAGGAATTATGGGAGCTGAAGTCTAAAACACCTGGAGGGTCACAAGTGTGATACCACTGAGGATACCCCCTTGTACATTGTCAAAGAGAGAGAGAGAAAGAGAGAGAAGATATACGTAGGTGTGGACGTATAATGCTTACTTGATGCAGCCCTCCACACTACAAATGGTCTGATGATTCAGTAACAGGCCCTGAGCAAGGCTTGCAGGATGTTTTGCAAGGTTGTTCATGGTTTGCTCTTTTGGTGACCTCTCATTTCTAGGGTCACCATACGTTGAAATTCCACTTGATGACAAAAAGAATTCAAAGACACAGCCATGTTAATCTGGACTAGGATCTTGTAGTGCGTGCATTTGTAGAATTAAGGCAGCTTGGCATCACTTTAGTTGTCATGGTTCAGTAAAAAAGGTAAAGGTTTTCCCCTGACTTGTCTAGTCATGTCTGACTCTGGGGGTCGGTGATCATCTCCATTTCTTAGCCGAAGATTCGATGTTATCCATAGACACCTCCAAGGTCATATGGCTGGCATGACAGCATGGAGCACCAATACCTTCCCGCCAGAGTGGTACCTATTGATTTACTCACATTTGAATGTTTTCGAACTGCTAGGTTAGCAAAATCTGGGGCTAACAGTGGGAGTTCACCTTGCTCTCCAGATCTCAACCACCGACCTTTCAGTCAGCAAGTTCAGCAGCTCAGTGGTTTAATCCATTGTGCCACCAGGGGCTCCTTACATGGTTCTATAATATGGAATAATGGGAGCTGTAGTTTAAAGGTCTTTCATCTTCTCTGCCAAAATGTGTTGGTGGCTTACAAAAATACAGGTCCCAGGATTCTATAGCACTGAGCCATGGCTCTTAAAAGTGCTGCCAAATTGCATTAATTCTACAGCAAATCCACTCTTTGTTATAAGAGTGATCTAATAGGCCATTTTCCAATACAATACCTAGGCAAATATTTCCACACACAGTGTTTCCACTTTGAGGCATGAAGTCTGCTATCTGCTTGTACTTAGAACTGCCCAGAATATGAACATAAAACCTTCATTAATTAGCAGTGAATGGCACTAAATTCACAGGTGCTTGTTTCTGAGTAAAGATGTATAGGATTGCACTGTCTATTATCTGGTTCAGGCAGGATGGGAATCATGCAGCCCTCCAGATGCTGTTGGACTTCATCTCCCATAATTCATCTTCAGGGAGATAGGTTGGGATATAAATAAAAGTTTTTTTTTTATTATTAGTCTGTTGTGAGTTTTCCAAGCTGTATGTCCAGGTTCCAGTACTATTTTCTCCTGACCTCACAACCTCTGAGGATGCCTGCCTTAGATACAGGCGAAACGTCAGGAGAGAATGCTTCTGGAACATGGCCATATAGTCTGGAAAACTCAACAAACTACTGATTCTGGCCATGAAAGCCTTTGACAATACATCATCAGCATTCATTAACACTGATGAGAACTGATGGGAATTACAATCTAGCAACATCAGAAGGGCTACATGATTTATAGCTCATCCTGTATTATTGCTGTCACACAGCGCAAATAGCTCTTAAGACTCAAACACGTTTATATCAGAATGTACTAAAGGCTTAAGATCCTCCATCCAATGTACTTGGGGCCAGAATTATGCCGGATTTTTTGTTTGTTGGATTGCGGAAATCTTGTATTTGCATATTTGTACAAAATGGGATATCTTGGAGATGGGACCCAAGTCAAACCATGAAGTTTATTTGTATTGAAGGTTTTAAGTTTTGTTATGTTTTTAATGATTGGTTTAATGTATATGTTTATTTTACTATGTATGTCCATATGGCATCAAATTGCTGCCTATGTATGTAAGCCGCCTTAACTCCTCTATGGGGCAAGTAGGGCGGGGTATAAATATGGTAAATATTTCATATACATCTTATACATATAATCTGAATGCAGTTTTATACAATGTTTATAATAAGGTTGTGCATGAAAGAAATTAAAATCTGAAAGACTTCAAAATCCTGGATAGCTGAGACAGTGATACCTTTACTTTCCCAAAGCGTTGTTACTTAAAATTTGTTTCATGCACAACCTTATTAAAAACAGTGTGTATAAATCCCCCCCCCCCCATGTGTATATGAAACATAACTGAAATGTCATGTTTGGCATTGGGCTCCCAACTCTAAGGCTGTATCTACACTGTAGAATTAATGCTGTTTGACACCACCTGCAATGAAATCATGGGGACTGTAGTTTGGAGAGGTACTAGTCATCATGAGCAGAGAAGGACAAAGACCTTGTAAAACTACAACTCTAGGGATTCCATAGTAGGGTGTTTTTTTTGGTCATGTCAGGAGTGACGTGAGAAACTGCAAGTCGCTTCTGGTGTGTGAGAATTGGCTGTCTACAAGGACGTTGCCCAGAGGACGCCCAGATGTTTTACCATCCTTGTGGGAGGCTTCTCTCATATCCGCGCAATGGGGAGCTGGAGCTGATAGAGGGACCTCATCCACACTTTTCCCTGATTCGAATCTGCAACCTGTCGAATCTGAAACCTGCTGGCAAAGGGGTTTAACCACCTCACCACCGGGGGCTCCAGCCATCGCAGTTAAAGTGGTAGTCAAACTGCAATTCTCAGGAGATTTCTTAGGGTCCTTCCACACAGCCAAATAACCCAGGATACTAAGGCAGAAAATCCCACAATATCTGCTTTGAACTGGGTTATCTGAGTCCACACTGCCATACATTCCAGTTCAAAGCAGATATTGTGGAATTTTACTCAGCTGTGTGGAAGGGGCTTCAGTAAGTATATGTAAATATTCCAAACTCTAAAACACTTCTGGTTCCAAGCATTTCAAAAAAGGGAACCTCAACCTGTATTACTCTGTTTATTTGAAAGCATTACTACATCTCTGGCTTCTTTTCTCGAATACCACCCACTCTTTGGTAATATCCTTGCTGGGTTGTTGTAGGTTTTTCGGGCTATATGGCCATGTTCTAGAAGCATTCTCTCCTGACGTTTTGCCTGCATCTATGGCAAGCATCCTCAGAGGTTGTGAGATCTTTTGTTTTGGGCTATATGGCCATGTTCTAGAAGCATTCTCTCCTGACGTTTCACCTGCATCTATGGCAAGCATCCTCAGAGGTTGTGAGGTCTGTTGTTTTGGGCTATATGGCCATGTTCTAGAAGCATTCTCTCCTGATGTTTCGCCTGCATCTATGGCAAGCATCCTCAGAGGTTGTGAGGTCTGTTTTTCAGGCTATATGGCCATGTTCTTCCACATTAGTATCAATTTGATGCTTCTCAAGCTATTTTTTTAAATGGGTTGTTGTGAGTTTTCCAGGCTGTATGGCCATGTTCCAGAAGCATTCTCTCCTGACGTTTTGCCTGCATCTATGGCAAGCATCCTCAGAGGTTGTGAGATCTTTTGTTTTGGGCTATATGGCCATGTTCTAGAAGCATTCTCTCCTGACGTTTCACCTGCATCTATGGCAAGCATCCTCAGAGGTTGTGAGGTCTGTTGTTTTGGGCTATATGGCCATGTCCTAGAAGCATTCTCTTCTGATGTTTCGCCTGCATCTATGGCAAGCATCCTCAGAGGTTGTGAGGTCTGTTCTTTGTCCCGCCCTGGACATTCCACAGATATATAAACCCAATTTTCATAGTAGCCTGAAAAGCCTACAATGTAAACACGTTGACGAAGGCTTTCATGGCTGGAATCACAGGGTTGTTGTAGGTTTTTTGGGCTATATGGGCATGTTCTAGAAGCATTCTCTCCTGACGTTTCGCCTGCATCTATGGCAAGCATCCTCTGAGGATGCTTGCCATAGATGCAGGCGAAACGTCAGGAGAGAATGCTCTAGAACATGGCCATATAGCCCGAAAAAACCTACAACAACCCAGTGATTCCAGTCATGAAAGCCTTCGACAATACAATATCCTTGCTGTTCCTGCTGACTTCGGGTTGAGTGACAGAATAGGAAACTGTCGGGACCAAAGACCAAGTAAGACAGCTCAACAAAGCCTCCAATGAGTCTAAATGCAGAAATTGAGGGAAGGTGGCCTCTGGGATCAGGAGGAAGCCGTCTGCACCTTGGAAGAGAGAGAAGAGGCGCTGAAAAAGCCCGTTACCTAATACCTGGCCCAGGAAATCACCTCGCCTCCAGCAATCCGCCGACACTTCCGGGTTCTCTTGGACGCTCCTCCCCCTCAGCTTGGCGGAGGAGAAAGGCATCCTGGGAACTGTAGTTCGCCCAAAGGGCCTACTTTCAGGAAAAGCCAGGCTTTAGGCCTTTCCTGTTTCCCCAGTGGCTTTTTCTTGTGGAGAACTGTGCCCTTCCAAACAAAACAGGAGTTGAGCTCATGTTTGTGTATCTGCAGGGCTGTCATCTGTTTCAAATGTGTAAAATTAGTTGAGAATAATAGTAACAGACTTTAGTTATGTGGGTGCCTCAGTCACTCAGGCCTGGGCAAACTTGGGCCCTCCAGGGGTTTTGGACTTCAACTCCCACCATTCCTAACAGCCTCAGGCCCCTTCCTTTTCCCCCTCAGCCGCTTAGGCTTAAGGGGCCTGAGGCTGTTAGGAATGGTGGGAGTTGAAGTCCAAAACCCCTGGAGGGCCCAAGTTTGCCCAGGCCAGAAAGTGACACCAGGCACAATATATTTGGCTTCGTAGCAATTGTGGCAAGATCTTGGTGGTATGGAGATACCAAGCCACCTTGT